GGTCAGGGAGGTAGTAGGCCTAGGCCCACTGCGGTAGTGCTAAGGGGGGGGGGGGAAAATTGAACTTGTCGATACAGCGCCGTGACTGGGAGACGGCAAACCCCTGATCTCTTCTCTCCATCCTCAGATAAACGCCTGTTCAGTTTGGACCCAGTTGATAGAGCTAGTCTCCGAAAACGTCGGTTTAAATACAATGAATAATGCCTGTAAAGGCTATGATTGCAGGAGTTTGTTTAAATGCCTGATAAACTGAAGCTGTTTGTTTTCTTTGCAGATCCCTGAACCAGACTTGTTGATGGCTGGTGGAGCCCTGGAATAAGACTGTGGATCAGTATAACCGAATTATTGGACCAAGCTGATTCGTGTGTTCTCAGTGGAAACTTTTCCGAAAGTGGTGATTTATTTTTAAGCAGATTAGTGGCAGCGAGATATTGTGCACATCGATCTGTTCGTCATGCTCAAGCAACATAAAGTGACGTCAATATTTGTCTTCTGTGAGCGATCGCGAGGCACTCAACATAAGTCACCGTGACGCCTGGGCGTCACTAGTTCTGATCAAAACGACCCAGTATATATCTGAAGCCTCTCGCAGTGTTCCCAAAGAAACCGTTAAAATATCTGGGGATTCCCGAACTATAACAAAAGAGCACATATGAAATTATTTACGCTCTGCTGAATTTTATGCAATTATGCAGCCTCGTTTTAAGGTGTACCCGTGCTAATACAACGAAAATTAACTTTTAAGATTACATCCTTCTGGGATGCGACGACGTATGGTGGAAGTCTGCCGACGTTTCGAAGGAACATACTGCTTCTATCATTTAGGATCGAAGAATAAGTCAAGAAGAATGCGCCAAACTTTTTATCAGACTACATGGCTTCACATCCTGGAAGATGGAACCCTTTATAAACATCACCGTGAGAACCTAAGTCTCACGAAAAGTAAATCAGCTGTAGCTGTAGCCTAGCAGACAACGAACTGTCTTTCTGTAACCGAAAAGCTATTCCTGTGCTCAAGTTGTCTGGGTAGCCCCGTTTCTGGTTGGCAGTTACTTATAGTGTCGATAGTTATTTTAATTGTTTTCGATATATCGAACGGAATTGAAAGCAGAGAATCGCCGTGCCCGCAGAACACAGTTTGCTTACGATCGTATCTACATAACAAGGCACTAGAAATTACACTGGCCTAGCACGTCGCAAGATAAAGGTATTTAAAAACTTTATTATATGTTGACGTCATCAATCTGAATCTAATCCACAAATCTGGTGCAGCTTTGTGATAGTCACGCGTAGGCGAATACGCGAAGTACAAATAGCGATATTTAATCGAATCGGATACGAATAGGAAACGAGCCTACTACGTCACTCTACAGAATATAGAATGCACATAAACAAGAACAAGGGATCTCAGATAAAACAAGAGACACAAGTAAACGGACAGATAACCCCAAATGTCAGAAAATAAGCAACTTTAACCACAACGACAACGAAACTTAAAAACATTTGACTGGACAGTGATATAAATAATGTTAAATCAACCAAAATTCGGAGAGTAAGACAGAAATTGGTTGACAGAAAAAATGTAAAGTGAACTCGGGAACATAAGGGTGAACAGTGGCCAACAACGAGATTATAGGATGAAAGTATGGAGAGGACACACAGACAAAACATCAGGATAAATTCAGTTTGTAACATTAAAATCTAGTATTAACAATATCTTAACAACATTCGAATTAATATTTTAGTATGTACAGACATCGAACGAGAAATGAGGGAGTCTGTAGTTAGAAGCTGCGTGCTAAGACCTGCAGAGCAGTAGGGACAAGTCTGGTGGAGTGAATACTCTTAATGTTTTGAGCACCAAGCGTATTGCTTATATTTTCCGGAGGATTTCATGAGAAATCATGAATGAATTAAATTTATTTTCGTGTCTGAAATATAATTAACCCCATCTCACTGAATTCAAATTGGTAATTCTGTTACGTGTGTAGCGAAGTCTTGGGTTCGTAGTTGGTTGAGGCACTATGCTACAGTACTGAAGGTCGCAGGTTGTGTTTCCGATGAGGTTATTGGATTTTTCTGTTGACCGAATCCTTCCAGCCGCACTATGGCCCTGGGATCGACTCTGCCTCTAACATAAGTGAGTACCAGGAATATTCCTGGGGGTAAAGGGCAGCCGGCGCGTAAGGCTGACAACCTCACCGCCAACTGTGAGCCGATTACCTAGAAAATGTGGGAGCCTCGACGTCTCACAACGCTATGGGCCTCCACGGCCTGTAACGGAGTTTTGCGCTTAACAGTTCCAGTTAAATATATCCTATTTTCTTTGGATAAAGTAAAGCAAGTAGCGAGTTGATCCTATGCCTAAGCACCAAGATACGAAAGGGAAGAAGGGGTGGAGCTCATTGAATATTGCAGTCGACCGATCAACACACCTGTTTCATATTTAGGAGATCTCGGGTTCGAACTTCGACCTAAAGATCAGCCACCCTGAAAGGTTTTTTTTGCTGTTTTCTCCAGTCTGTAAGGCAGACCATAGACTGTTGCACATGCTCACGCTGGTTCCTTCGCGGATTTCTTCTTGTCTTCTACTCTGAAGATGGAGGCGATACCTTCCTCCGAAACGTCGGGTAACACAATATCTACACGGTGCCACACCCCAGAAGACTGCTTTCTTCATAGTCACCGCCATGAAAAACCTCAAATCTTATAGAGTGAGGTGGTTTTCGCGTTTTTCCTCACCCCCTTCGGGCAAATGACGGTACAATACTTCGAGTAGACTATGACCGCTTCATTCCAAATCCTTTCTAGTTCATCAACGTTCATCTATCATCCTACCATCCGACGCTGTCTAGTCTCGAAACCGAAGGCGTCATTTAAAAACCTACAGAAAAGAAACACCTGCTCCCGTTGGTTGGTGAAACAGCAATGTTGCTATGCAGAATTTTTGTTTGTCTGAAGTCTAGAATGGCTGAACTGATTGTAATTATCGAAAAATAATCTAAAGCACTGTTGATTTAGTTCGGATAGGCGTCCATATTGAAGGTTTGACTGAAATATGAATTTTTAAGCATTTTGAAATAAAGTTATAGTTTTGTCAACTGATAGACCTGTTGTGATGTGTAGTGTTCTCTCTGAATTACAATTTGAAATTCGGTGACAAATAGTTCCACTACCACCAAATATGCTATTTAAGTGGTCAGATAATACTTAATTTGAACAAAAATCTAAGCGAATTCACTCCAGCAACTTCTGTATGAATTATCAGCGCTCGAACAAATATGTTTTTGGCCATTTTTAATTTTAAAATACGTTTTCATGTACGTGACCATAAATTCATAACGAGCTTCAATATCTCGGTTGGTAAAAAGGCTTAAACAGCACAGAGCTTATTAAGACAGAAGTAAATACCGGGATAGGATCAAATGTGGTTACTTCTGACTTAGTTCATGAAAGTAGGACGTACGCGAGTTTGAAAATCGCAGCCCTATACTCTGCAGGGGCAAACAACGGCCCACAGACCAGATCCGGCAATATGATCACTTTATGAACAACCCGATTTCGAAAAGATGACTCGTAAAATCTGTTATGTTGTGCGCATGACTGAGGAAAGATCAGAAAAAAAAACAGACTGTCTGGCTCCAGCAATGACGAAGTTACGTAGAACTCTAAAAGTAATATACCTGTGTACATACATAAAGTACCTTTTTTAAAATACAATTTCCTCAGTGCATGGCAGCTGGCATTTCATGTGTAAATTTGTTGATTTTTTGTTTTATTTATCTTAGAATTACTTTTGAACCCTGAGTTTGTGTACCTATAATTCACAATTTGGTTTGGAAATAATTCGCCTTCAGGAGACAGCGAGGGCTGTGAAATATACAACCCTTTGTTGTGGCAGCATAGCAGGGCCTTGTTTTGCACCCTTATGAAAAGTTGGTCAACATAAAATGCACATCGCATTTTCCCTTAATTTAGTGCGTTGCGAATGCAAGTCACATATAAATTTTGAAACATTTCTAACACGCGTGTCCTACGAAATTGTCAGATATTTTCTGAACGCTGTAAACAACTATGAAACAGAAGTTTACAGATAGTTTTGCCTTCAACTAATATGGAAAAATTATTGTGCGCTATGTAAATTGTATTTACATTTCCCAACTTAAGTATGCATTTCATTTTTCTCACAACACGAAGTGAGATGGGGTGTCAACATAACTATATTTTCGGTGGTAGTTATTAGTGAAACGCGAACATGCGCAGTCAGTGTTTTGAGACAGATCTGCGCATTATGTTCGGGTAAATACAGTTTAACTGTTAAGTGATCCGGGATAATTCGAACACTTGTAGGTATAACTGTCTAGGTGTTGGAGGGCCGGCTTCTGATGTTGGGAAAGCATTATTTCTCTTTCCCACCGCTGTGGTGCCGGTTTTGTCCCCAGGAAAAGAGCGAAGTTGACCACACCCCCACATATCTCTGTCCAGTGCAGAGGGATATACGCAGCTTTGCGTCCATGTCTCTGTGCATACGTGTATACGTGTATTACCTTCAGTTGATAAGAAACATACGGAAGATAGATAGAGAGAGAGTAAAAGCGAATGTTCTTTGTGATCAACGTTTTCTCGAGGTTGTCCGTCTCCAGACTCATAACTGCTAAATGTAGCTGCCAGAAGTGAGTAATATTAATATTATACACTGAGAGCTAGAGGAAGAGTTCATTTTTAAAATTTTAACTCCGAAAATACTGAATGTGTGATTTTAGAATGGCTGTTGATAATTAGACACGTGTGTTATAGGATATCAGTTCTCGGCAAAAAAAAAAAAAGTACAGCAAAAAACACCCCTCTGGAGTCGCCCCTTGAAAGGAAACAATTGAATTTACAATTCACTGTTTTGTGGACTGCCAGTTTCCAGTACGACTGGAGAAAGTATATATAATTGTAACTTATAAACTGGGAAAAAAAAACTGTTTTAAGTATGCTACATTTCTGTACAAATATATGTATATATACATGTTCTGAAAAGATCTAGAATATAAGTTTTATTTTGTATAAAGTTTAAGGTGCCATTGATATCAGGTGTATGTATAGTTACGGAAGAACTGAAGCGCTCACAAGACGAAGAGGAAGTGACGTAACTTGTAACATGAATATGATTATAGTGTTGATTGAGTTCAAACGTAAAGCTTCTTTGAAAAAAACATGAACATGATTGTAATTGTTGTGTAAATATGCTATTGTTTTAAAGAAACATCCTGCGACAGAGTTCTTAATCTATATTAATATATATTATTATAATATGTAATAAAAAGAAATTAGTCAAGATACTATATTTGCATGTAGGTTCAACGTATTTTGATATACACAGTTCGACGAGACCTGGTTGAATGCTTGTCAGGGGAGCCCACAGTCTGCGGTGTGCAGGACACGCACACGCTGGTGTCCTTTGGTTTTAGGATGTGATGGATCCGTGACTGTTGGTTCAGTTCACATTCTTGCAAGGCGTTTTGTTAACATCAGATGTAGATTGAAACGAAATGTAATTACTGCTACTATATTTACGAAATGTTGGAAAAAAAAAAAAATGTTTCTTAGATTGTGTTGATAAGAAATAGTTGCCATGTTAAAGTACGCAGTTGCCACAGCGGAACAATGAAAGAAGTTTTAGTGAATAAAAAAACTATTATTGAAAATGAAAACAACTGACAGTGTTAATTTATTTTATTTCTTTATGTATTCACTGCATACATTTATTACGAATTACGCCTTCTGATGTATTTCGATTCAGAATTGATGTAGTCTCCTTTATTTAATTAGTTCTGTGTTAATCAGTCTAACTATATTGTGTATTAATGAAGGCACGCTTTTCCAATCCGTCCCGTTTTCCATAGGAGCCGGGATATAGCGACTGACTATGGGGTGGACGACTGAGGGGTCGGAGTTCGAATCCAGGTAGGGTCAAGAATTTTCTCCACGTCTTCCAGACCGGCTCAGGGATCCACCCAACCT